TGATCTCAGGAAATTTATCTACCTTTCCAAAATTTGGTTATGAGGCCTAACAGTACCTGACTGTTACTACTCTGACTGTCTTTCTTAAGGCTCTCAAGGTGTGTGGTTCCTGATGCCCTTCCTGAATCATTTGTAGTTTTAGCCCCCAATACCCTCCCTCCAAAATAGCACTATTTCTGAAAGTACTGCTTCTGAAATTATATCTACTTAAACTACTATCTGGGAGATTATATAAAGAGGAATGAAAGCCAACAGAATTCTAGACACTCAAAGGGAAAAAAGCTGAGAGAGTATCAGAAGGGAAATAATGTTCCTCAAAAAGTAGAAATAGAATTGCTATGTGATTCAGCAATCCCACTTCTGTGTATGTATGTGTGTGTGTGTGTATGTGTGTGTGCATACAGAGAAACTGAAATCATTATATTACAGAGATATCTGCACAGACTTTCATGTTCTTTCAACAGTGTTCACAACAGACAAAATATGACCTCAACCTACTTGTCCATTGTAGATGAATGGATAAGAAAATAAGTACATAAAGTGAAATACTATGCAGCCTTTGAAAAGAAGTAAATTGTCATTTACAAAATGTGATGAGCCTGCAGGATATTACGCTAAATGATATAAACCAGATACAAAAAGAAAAACACTATACAACCTTATTTAAAGTTGAAATGTAAATTATTGACTACATGGGTAAATATTGGTCAGCAGGTACATTCTTTCATTTAGATGACAGAAATAAGTTTATGAGATCTATTTTACAACAAGATGGCTACAGTTAATAATGATGTATATTTTTTAATTGCTTAGACTAAATTTCAAGTATCTCCATAAGTAAATGCTGATTTCCTTGATTTAATCATTCCACAACACATATAAATATCAACATATCACATTTTACCCTACAAATGCAAACAATTATTATGTCCACTGACAGTTATATTAATTTAAAGGTAAGGAAGTTACAAATGTTTTAAAAGTAAATTCGAGGAGGAGAACCAGGACCGAGCCTGTCTGCTTTCTGTAGCCACCTCTGTCTTCCTCTATGCGGGGTGGCATCCTCTTCCAAGTGTCCACTACTGTCTATAACCCTCATTCCTTCCCTCTCCAGGAGGTGAGGAAAAGACCTCATAGCAGACATTAATAGCAGAGTTCAAGTCTACGGCCCTTTCTTTCACACTGAATTTGTATTCTAAACTTTATCTTTGATGAGGAATCCCTCTGTCTAGGAAAGACTTCAGGTATAGAGGAGATGAACAGGGGGAATATTACAAGTCACATAGGACTCACAGCTATTAGATAAAGGCTGCTCTGCTAATGCTGGTCCCGAGTCAACTTGGAAAAATAGATCAATCTCCTTTTAATTAATCATTATCACTGACAATCACAAAATTATTACACAGAACATTAGAAATTCTTATTAAAATGGAGGTGATGTATTACTTATAAGTCTACAATATTAAGCTATAATGAGCTGTAGTCTGACTGATCTCTCCTCTCCAAGCTGAAGCAAAATCAAACTAAAGATATTTGAGGAATCCCATTAAATGATGCTTTCTCTGATCTGGGTCTTTGCTGGGGTCCAGAGTTGAAGAGACCTGCATCTACTTATTTACAAAACCCATTATCCAGCAAACCAAAACTGGTGTTCCCTGCAAGCTGATCCAAAAACCCTCCTGATTTCAACTTTTTTAAAAAATTGAGTTAATTAAATCTAAGCATGTGTGTCCTGAAATGAGACAAGGGCTCCCTCTGTGAGAACTCAAACACAAATCCCAGAAGCCTTTTACGGTAGGTTAATGTGAGAAGCTGATCCTCTCAGCTGCCTTCCAATTAGCTGGGAAAGCGAAGACTGCCTATGAAACTAGATTCAAGTTTCTCAGAGACTTTGCATGCGGGTGTGGTGTGCAATGAGTGTGCCAAGTGCTGAACAACTGGCTCTGTAGCATGCATCTAAGGGAAAGAAATGCCACTGAGCTCCTGTCCCCACCACATCCCCTCTATTCCTCAGCTTGCTGCATCTGATGCCATTCCACACAGCACAGCAAACATACACAAAGAGAGATGGGCACATACTCCTGCTTGCTTTTATTCTTGGGTTTTAAAAATGGGTTCCCTTAACAGACAGAGCTCCAAACAGACACAGAGTGGTCAAGCAAAGACCAGAACCCTGGGGCCATTGGGGGCCCCTTAATTAATGTGTTAGCTTTCAGAGGTTATAGCTCTTCTCATTTCACAGCCAGGGAGCTGGATGAGAGAACCAAAAGGTAGCAAGTGACAGGTTGCTAGATGTAGCTGCTCAAAGTTAAAACCTCCAAGCCAGGGGCAAGTCAAGAGACAGAAAGAGCTGCCTGAATCTTGATGATTTTAATACTTAGCCCACAATCAATTACAGAGATGCTCAACTCTGTTGTGGTAAAGATTGTAATATTAGCCCCAAATATTGAGCATATAGTATGTACTAGTTCTTTCAGCATACTTCATTTAGCTATGATTTATGTTATTGATAACCTTTGTTCAATCAGATGAAGAAAGGAGGGCTCAGAGAGTTGAAATAGCCTCTTCAACCTCATATGGGTATCAAGAGCTGAAGATGTCCCAAACACCCAAGCCTGGCACCATGTGTCTCTTTACATCAGAACCAGCATCACATTGTAATCCTTGGCAAACACAAACCCATGGGCATGCTGAGGTCTAGTGGGTCCTGTGTTTTTACCAATTCAACCTCCCAGAAGGTTCATTTTAGGAGCTATGCTTTTTAAAGGAAAATCAGAGAGAAAGAGATGATAGCAGGCCAAGAAAACGGACTATCTTCTGGGCCTAATTGTAATTAGCACATAAACTCGGCCTCAAATTATGATGTATTTAGCACTGGAAATTAAATTCATTAATTATTGTGCAGCCACCTCTGAAATCTTGCAGAGAGTCCATCCTCTGAATAAAATATTTCCAAATTAATGGCATACTTATTCCTGCTTATTAACAATTTAATAGTTATATGTTAAGCATTTTGAATTAAATGAAAAAGAAAAAGGGTAGAGGAGAACTGAAAGATAATCAAGTCATCAGCACCCTCGACTGGACAGCAAGAGAACTGAGGCTTCTAGGAAAAAACTATCTTTTGTCTTCTGTGAGTGCAGGCGTGAGAGAAATGGGTAAGCCTGGCATCCACCCAGTGCCTATTTGTCAGCTACCTTAAAATTTGCAACTTCCACTGTATTTGCCTTCCTTGAGCCTCATTCATTAATGTCAGGCAATGTTCTGGGATCTGGAGATTTATGATAGAGCAAGACATGGTATTTGCACACAGGAGATCACAGTTCAGCCAGATAACAGACACAAAAATGGAAAGTGGGCACACTACATGGTAAGGGTGGAGCTATGCCTGCGATTCTATAACAGCTCAGAAGAAGGACTACTGGGTAGCAGACTGGGAGAAACAAAGCAAAAACCCTGGAAGATATGATAGTTAAGTCAGACAGAGACAGACAAACTTTCTCTATCACATGTGAAACCTGATCTTTAAAGACCATAAAAGTTACCCTTTTCAAGGAGAGGACAGAGGGAAAAAGGGGAGGAAGTTATTTCTGAGTGACAGCAGAGCATGAAAAAAGGGCAGAAATCGGATGAAGCACACTGTGCTGTTTCTACAGCCTGTGAGACTGGGAGAGCTCAGCAGCTATGCCACAGGGAGGGTTTGGTATTGCTGACCATTAATAATGCTGGAATTTACTTCATCTGACAACATTTTCCCATCATGTTTGTTGCCAGTCAGGAAGCAAATTAGGATTTTATATTCAGGAGTGAGATGTTCCTAATTGAGATATTACTGATAAAAGTTCAAGTAACTAAGGTTTTCACATGATTTAACTGTTTCTATACACTACAAGTTCAAAGTTAGTCCTAAAATATCTACCTTGCATCACCATGTATTGCTACATTTTCCTGCATGCAAATGGGAGGAAATCACAATGACCAAGCCAAAAGGCAGACACGAAAAGACCAAGGCACGGATGAGAAAATTCCTCTGAATAATACTTGCCATGTGACTATGTGAAGAGAAATTTGACAATGGCCCCAGTGGTAATGGAGTGTACTGGAAGTTTTCTTTACATTACAGCTAAATGTTTCTAGCACCACTCATGTATTCTCCAATGCCTTGCTTGCTATGCAGCATTATATACTGGCAGTAAATAACTGATACAAAAATTAGTGTTGAAAATGAGTGCTGACACCCACAACACACTGCCAGAACACAGTCAGCCCTCTGCATGCATGGGTTCTGCATCCATGGAGTCCACCAACCGCAGGTTGAAAATATTCAAAGAATAAATATTGTGCCTGTACTGAACATGTGCCGGCTTTTTCTTGTCACTATTCCCTAAGCAATAACAACCAGCTACATAGCACTTACATTGTAATAGGCATTACAAGTCACTTAGAGACAATTTAAGTATAATGAGGGTATGCTTAGGTTCTTTGCAAATAC